TATATATATATATTTGTATATTTAGGCAGCAATCCTTCGTTTATGCATGTTTCATTAAAAATGACAGAAAAGGTACTATGGTTAAGCTTTTTATTTAATTTTTCTAGTGTTGAAACAAGAGCTTTCTTTTCTGTACAAAGAGTGTATGAAAACTGTCCAAATGTTTTATAGTTCCGAGAGCTTTCGCCTATACCTTTAGCCATTATTTAGGATGATTCAATGTTTCAGCTTAATTGTGTGTGTGTGTGTGTGTGCAATATGTGTATGTTTTAGTGTGTTGTAGAGATGTTTTTAATTTCAGAATACAGTTAGCACATTGTGGCCATGTTTGTATTTAATATTGTTAAGAGTTGGCTTTTTCTTTATTATTAAAGCTTCTATTATTTTTAATCTTTTACAGGTGGATGAAGTTATGATATTTGTGTTTTCTACTAGTGTGTTTCTAATGGAGTCTGGTAAGTTTGTGTGTGTGTTTAAATGGGTTCTAATGGAGCTATCCAGACGCCTTTTTACGTTACACCTATCTGATCATGGATCGATAAAAAAGAAAAAAATTAAATAAAAATCTTAACCGTAGTACCTTGTCTGTCATTTTTAATGAAAATATATATATATATATATATATATATATATATATATATATATATATATATAAAGGTAACTTAATTCTTGACTGCTGATAATCCTTCTCTTCCCTGAATTTTGAATGCTAAACATAGTTTGTACATTCAAACTTACTAAGATTTAGGTTAAAGTAAATTGCAAAGTTGTGTACTTCATCATCTAATTTTGTTTATATCTAGCTTTTTATAGCTTGTGTCCCTTCAGAATATGGATGATAACGGCTATCCACAACTTCCTGTCCTTTGTAGCTCTAACAATGTTTGTCCCCTTACTATTCCTCCTAGTTTCTGATCTGCCATTCATTTACACACATTTTTAAGTTAGTTTCTCAATTTTTTCTTCTTATGTTCAATATGTTTTTGTTAATGTCACATTCTCCTTGCCTATTTTCTTCATTATGTATCTCAGAAATTTCAACTCTAAGTATTTTTGCTTCCATTTGCCTAATAACTTCTTTGTTGTTCACATTCTCCATCTATCCTTCTCCAGAACTACATTTTTGTTGCTTCACATATCATCTTCACCTGTGAGTAAATTGTCCTGCATGATAGGGAAAGAGGGTTTAGAGAATGTAAAGCTCACAGTACATATTAAAAGCAAAAGAGATAGAGGGAAACAATGAGTAACCTACCTAATGATCTTTTACAAATAGATGGTGGAAATGGCAAGGATAGTAAAGGGATAAAAATTGTTTAGAGCTACAAAAGGTAGAAGTTGTGGAGAGCCATGATTGCTCACATTCTGATGGACACATAAATCAGGAAAATAGATAATATAATTTTGTCTTTACCTATTGCAGAACAATTTTTTTTACCTAAAGACAGATAGTAAATAGATAAATATTGCTAAATGCCACAAAGGATAGGAAGTTGTGAAGAGCCATAGTCACCCACATCTTGAAGGAATATGCCACAGTGAAGAAAATTCAGACATTTAAAAGAAGTATTTTTACATTCAGTAAATTACACAAAAAACAGTTATAATAAATTTCACAAAAGGTAAAATTAAAAACAGACAGATATCTAGAGCAACAGCTTGAGCTTCACTGTTATTATCAAAAGCTTGGTATACAAATTCAGTGATGGCCATAAGCACGTCAGTGGTAGATCAGGCAAATCAGAAACCATATTGTTTGTCAGAGAGTAGATTATGGGATGTAAAGTGCTTAACCACTTCAGTATTGATTAAAGCCTCAAAGACTTTGCCAAAGTATGTTAGGAGACTGATAAGATGGTAGTTAGATGGGTCAGAAGGCTCTCCAGTGTTCTTAAAATCAGGGACAACAGATGAGGACTTCCAGGCAAGATTCAGCAAGGCAATAGTTATATAGTTTGGAGAGAACTGGAGCCAGCTCAGGAGGACATTTCTTTAGGACTGTGTCTGATATCCTGTTACTCCTACTTGTTTTATGAGAGTCTAATTTAGAGATCATGTCTATTACCATCCAGGGGGGTTATGCTCATCTCACTTAATAGAGCCCCAGTTCTGGGGGAATATCAGATGTGGGTACTCCAGATGAGTTGAGTTGGATGAGAATTTCTGAGCAAAGTATTCAGCCTTATCAGCTGAGGATGTTAGGACTTTGAATCAATTGAATAGAGAAGGGATTGTGGATTTTCTGTTGTTTAGAACACTCTTGCAGAGCTGCCAATAATCTCTAGAACCAAACTTGCGAGATGCAATATGTTGTTTTATTCTATCAGCAAATAGTAACTTTGCTTCATTGAGGAGATGCTTGCACTCATTATGAACAGAGACAAAGAGACGTCTGTTGCAATCGGATATGTCACCTTGGTACAGAAAGATGTGATTCTTATAAGCTATTATAAGCAAGCAGCTGAGAACCAAGGAGATGAGAATAATTTAACTGTATATTTTCTTGCTAGGATTAAAGACTCAATGCCAGCTTTTACTCAGGAGGAGACCTCAGATGCACGTTTTTGAATGGGGTGATTAAAAAAGGAGGTTCTTGGTTGGAGGGGGAGTGAAAGGAGATGTTAATAGACACTGCAACATCATTAGAGTTGCCAAGACGTCAGAGCTGCATAGCGCATTGAGTCCGAAATGGAGGTAAAACAGTGATCGAGAACAGAAGCATTACCATCAGGGTAACTGTGGAAACATGTAGGAAAATCAACCACTTATGTGAGGGATTGAGTGATTGAAAAGTTGAGTGGTTGAGTGCCAGCAAGGTCAGTTACAGAGTGTTTAAGACACATGTTATGGTGGGCGCTAAAGTCACCAAACACGAATATGTGCACAAACAAATGTAGAGAGATAGCCTTGACTATATTATCGGAAGTACTATTGAGTACACCACAGTCTTGAGAGGAAAGGGGAACAATAGAGAAAGAAGAGCTTACTGAATTGAGTAGCAATAGACAGAGACACTTAAACGAATGGTCTGGAGATTCAAGAGAGAGTTCCCTACCTAGCAGGAGATGATTGCGGTCATAAACTTCCAGGCCATGCATGTCTACTTTAGACTCCTTTCTAAGGAGAGGAAGGTAGCCCAGAATGAAGAAATCAGAGGAGGGGATTGAAGAGTTATGGCGAGTCTTGCAGAAAACTTTTCAAAGAGGAACGATTCCACATTGCAGAATTTGGTACGAATGCCACGGATGTTGAAGGAAATGTTAAAGGATTTAGGTGTTATTTTATCTGGTTTATGTTTACATTTTTGATTGTTTATGGTCATGTTGAGTTACGTTGGTAAAGAAAAGGTCTGAAGTAATAGCAGCAGATGGTCATCATATGTGACATGGGCAGAAAGGAACTGTTGCAGACTGCAACATAATATGGCCTCAGGGTTACCCACCAGAGGTGGGTGCAATGACATCCTTCCTTGCACTGCAAGAACACTGATATTATGCAACTGTTGATCAGAGCAGTCTCTCAAGCTGCTACACAAGATTTTAGATTCTTAACTATCTGTCAAGAAGAGCAACTAGAAAAATGTCAACCCAGTACCTTCAGTATGAAGTGACATTGCCACAAACTGCACACATCAGTAGCGATTCATGACAGCACCATGCTTGCTCATGCATTTGTATTTATTCAACACCCACAGAGCCCATCTGTGGTATATTCTGAAACTATGTTGAGCAGACCTTAGTTACAATTACAAAAAAGTGCATGTTATCTAGCATGATCAACAATTTGAATAAGGCTAGTAAATTCAAGCTGACAGCCATTGACAGCCCCCAAGGGTTCTGTCTACCAAATTTTACTCATAAGGCTTGAGTCAACCCATGTTATACTTTTCAGGAACACTGGGAACAACCCCTCCAGTCCAATAACATCAGGTAGAATCCTTCCTGACAAATTGACCATGGGGAGATTCAAACCCGGTCAGAATGCAAACATTTTAACCACTTGGCCATGTGTCCATAATATACTTATTAATATATTAAAAAATATACATAATACGTGATTGCACAACTCAAAATTTGTGCTTTCTGCAATCATCAGAATGGGAATTTTTGGGGTTAACACTCCTTGTTTTATATTTTAGGTTAAACCAAGATATTATTGTTAGAGCAGATTATATTGATGTTAATTATTTAAATGAATTGTAGTTTAATTTTGTATTTGAATTAAGAACCAAATGAACATTTAAGATTAGAAATAAGAATTATAAATTTTCATTTAAAAAATGGATTCTGTTATTAAAAAAAACTTTTAGAAATCAAGGTGGGGGTAACTCTATTTTTTATATGAAAATCAAAAAAAATTAATATTATTAATAAAATTAATAATATTAAAATATGAAGTGATAAAATAATATCAATATACTAATAAAAATAATACAAAACAATGAAAATAAATTATATATATTTTTGGGATTCCTTGCAAATCCTCATTGCCACTTTTGTGATGTTGGATGGCTTCACTTGTCATTTTTGCTATGTCAAGTGAAAGCTTGTCATCAATTCCAAAAAGGCTCATATTCGAGACATTGTACACTCCGATACAAATAGTAACACCTTCCCATAATATCTGCACTAGTAATACTTGTTCAAGTAGTAATCACCAAATAGTATAATGACCAGAAGAGAATTGTAATCTGTCTAGTAGTAGAGTAGAGAGAGTGAACATATAGCAATAGTGGATATACAAGAGTGGACAGTAACCATATGGTCATCATGCTACTTCTTATTTATACGCTTCCTTTATGATCACATGATCTACTTAATAATCGAATCATCCGTGTTACTCACTGGCAATTTAGTTTCAAACCACAGTGTCAGCAATGACACTTAACCTTATACAACACATATTTATAATACAGTATTGATTCTGACTGAAGAGAATTGATAAGATGATTTTTACAATAACATGTGACAAGAAGAAACAAAGACTAGCACATAACTTACGGTTCTGGCAAGATGCAGTACAGGGTGACCAATGGGAAAAGTCTGTCACTACACAATCCCGAGGACAGGGCAGCTGGCAAGGTTGGACATCATCTGGCCGAAGATGCCTGACACACCTGTAATAAGTCAATGTATATAAATGATTAACAGGAGAATTTTAATTTTTAATAATAAACAGATTATTCTAGGGTGGTTGTTTTTGCTTTTATCACTATTCTCTTAATACTGAAATTAAATTGTTGATTAAAAAGAATACACACACACACATATATATATATATATATATATATATAATGAAATTAAGTAAGTCCAACAATTATTTAATGAATACAATTTATTTAAGTAAATATTCTATTTTTTTTTTAAATAAACAGTATTAATTACATTTACTGGACTGAAGGTTTAAGAAATTTCATAGAAAATATGTGCTTTTCCGACAGGGTTTGGGGTTACAGGTTCGATCCCTGTCAGAGAAACATATTTTCTACAAAATTTATCAAACATTCAGGCTGGTTAATGTAATTAATACTGTTCATTTAAAAAACAGATCATTTACTTAAATAAATTGCATCTATTATAAACAGATATATATAATACAAACATTGTGTTACACAAACAAAAAAAGGGTCAACCAGTATATTTCTGGAGGATGACAGTTTTAAGGTAAGCAGTCTTTGGAATTGAAGTGCTTAATATCAACAGATTCACTTGTCAGGATGTTTGATAGTAAAATTTAATTTATTCAGTTTTACTATGAAATGACCTGAAAAATGGATACCATACATGTAAAACTCCAATTTGGGAAAGTTGAACATTAAATTTTAATTGTGTTATATATATATATATAAATACATAGCTGAGTGAGATGCTTAAAAATTTTAAGTTTCAGCAAGAAGCCCATCCTCCAATGTTTGATCAGATTTTGGTAAATAGGTCAAGCTAAGAACCTTTCAGCAACACCTTGTATATGTTTATATAGCATTTATATGTAGGTATTTTCAGACATACATATCATTAATTGATTTTAAATCTAACAAAACATGAAAATGATGAAGAATTTTTATGTAACTGTTCTGTAATCAAAATAGAAAAATCTTTTCTTTTTTTTTTTTTTTGTTTTTTTGCTCTTTAAATTCATTTGTTTACTTGAAGAAAGCTATTTTAACCCAAAATTGATCCTTGGTGACTTCCAGTGACCTTACTGTCCAGCATCATCTATTCTTTCATCTTTTTCTTCCCAAGAAAGTATTGTTTGGCTGCAATGCATTTAATAAAGCCCCAAACATTATTCTACCTTCACTGACTTTGGAAGTCAAATCTGACCTTAACCACCCTGCCATTTTTGAGGTCCCAAACCATTTTTGAACTTCATTATAAACTCAATATCTTACTTCATTTAGCTAAAAATGACAAGTTGCAATTTTTGAACTTGGATAACTAAAAATGGCCTCTGTTATTTGCATTATGGTTATTTATATAAAAACTGTATCCTATTCTGTGATGTCTAAATATTTTAGCTCAGTAATATATCATAGACCAAACATTTGAGCAACGATAAAGTTTTAAAGAAAATGGAAACAAAAAAAGGACACTTATATTTAACATCAGGAAAAGACAGTTAAAATTTCTAGGTCATATAATGAGGAAAGAGGGCTTGGAAAATTTTATACACACAAGAAAGATTAAAGACAAGAGAGATAGAGAAAAACTATGCATGACCTACCTAGCAAGCTTGAGTAAATGGATAGCAACACAAGGTTTAGGAGAGATAACAAAAAGTCATAATTTATTAAAAGCTACAAAGGACAAGAAATTGTGGAGAGCCATCATTGCCAACTTCCTGAAGGATCACGGCACATAGAAGAATATAGGTATACATTATTTGAGGCTGACAGTGGATATAACAGCCATTTTGCTACAATGTAATTATAGGAGAGTTCATTGTCTTTTTGATATTTCCTTATGAAGAAAGTAAATCATCAAGATTATAGCTTAAATATATATTTTTATTTAGACAGTTTTCCAAATTGACAATTGTCATTTTATATCACAACTACCCTAACACACACATATATATAGCTACCTTATGCACAAACACAAAGAGAAAATACAAGCTGAGTAATAAATGTATCCTCAAAACTTTCAGAAAAAGAAGCTTTTGAAAAATACTTCGAAAAATCTCCATTTACCTTTGATATCACAAGTTGATACCAGCTAGTACTTAAGACTCACTTTGATATTTGTATAAAGCACATACATACATACATACATACATATATATATATATATACATATATATATATATATATAAACAAGCCTGTTTTTAGTTGTTTTTTTTTGCTTATATATGTTAATGTTTCACTCCACTTACATATGCACATGGATATGCATATGTCTATAAAGCTAGATACTGATAAAGATATTAATTTATATAAATGAATAGAACTGCACACACACACACACACACATATATATATATAGAGTTCATTTATATATGTAGTTTTGTTTTTGACCTTTTCACTCCGTTATTATGTACAAAATCATGTAGAATTTCTTTGAAGTGATTTACATTTCTGAAACAATTCTCTAATGTTGGCAAGAAGGAGTTGTGTATCTTAGCAATCTCCTTTGAAGCGGGCAGAACAGATAGGCATCACATTTCTTACGTGAGCCAAATACACCAGACTTCTTTGTCTAGTCGTGTGTCCAGTTTCTTTTCTGATTTTTCTGTCAGCTGCCATACTGGTATTATTTGCCCATGCTAGCAGAGTAGAATTCACTTTAGCTTTTCATATACCCCTTTGGCATATATGGCCCAAGTACTATATCATTTTGCCCGTGTTCTTTTGTCCAATAAACTTGTGCAATTACTTCAGGTCCCTTTTCTTTCCTATTCTTTGGCCTTTGCTTGCCTGCTCACTTCTCAAAATTTATCAAATTTATCCACATGTGGTTAAGTTCAATTTTTGATGCTCACTCAACTCCAGTGATTAAATACACTTCTGTAGAAATCGTAACTCGGGTCTGCGAGAAAAGTAAAGAAAGTTTGCCAACTGAATTGGCATGGTAGATAATGCATGTAACAAAAGTATATAGCAAACTGAAGATGATAGATTTTACTAATCTCTTACCAACATCAGAGAAATAGTCAGAATTGGATCACAAAGAAAAGCACTCATGCATAATTTAGTGAAAGCTGAATATATATTCATATACTAAGTTTTCTGTTTGTTTGAACTTAGTCTTGCATCTATCATGTTTATTTAGTGGCATATCAACTCCTGATGGGTCATTTAATTCCAAAATTTAATTTTCTTGTGACCATTATTAAATTCTTTGCCAAAAAAAGTATTGGTGGTAATATTTTTTCCTTACAGAAATGTATTGTTGGTAATGTTTTTACGATAAAAATATATTGCCAGTATTTTCACTATAAAAAATTTTAGTGTTTTGACTCCAATTTAAGAGGTTAATTTTCCTATAACTGGGACCCTAACTGGGGGTACCCTGCCCCAAATCAGGATGCACCTGAGAACAACAGCAATTAAGAGATGATTCCATGCCTTTAAAAAAACTTCCTGATCATATATGTATATATAAATAATGTCCATAGATAATTCCAAAGAGGACATGAATCCAAAGAGAGATCAATGTAAGAAATGGAGCAATATACTAATAATAATTAGTACAGATGATCCTTAAAAATCCATTCAGTTATAATTTATTTCATGAATATATGAAAATATTCATCTCTTTAGACCAAGGATCATCTGTTAATCTCAGACTCCCAACAACATCTGGAACAGATGCAATCTATGTATACAGGAAAAAGTCATAATGATTCTGTTTTATATGGGTACTGACATGTATACTTTTGTGATGTCAACTAACACTCATTGTCACTTTTGTGATGTCAACAAATACTCATTATCACCTTGATAATGCTCGTTGTAGTAGAGATTTGTAATCGCAGATACAATTATAGTAATGCCTTCGAATGACACTTGCATGATAATACTCACTCGAATAGTAATCCGAACACTAACCCATATAGTGATCACTTAGACACCGCACTAATTCCCATATATACCTTTCCTTTACCATCACATGATCTACTTATTCAAAATGGGATCATCTGTTTTTGTTCTCTGTTGATCAGTGTTCAAACTCCAGTATTGGCAGCCACACTATATTCTTATACAACATGTATGTACATATATTCACATTTTTGTATATGATCATTTATGTGATTTTCTTGTCGACATCAATTATAATCTTAAATTATTAAGTATTTTTATATTAATTTTTGATATAATTATCTTTATTATTTTTTCCTCTTATTATTATCATTCTTGTATATATATATATATATATATATAGTTATTTTTTTTTCTGAAAAGGTTAAAATTCATGCAATTGCCATGAATGGTTGCACTATACACAGGCAATAGTTTTCTGGGTGAGCTAAAATCATGCAAAATAATTCAGTCAGCTTATACACAAGTGTGTGTGTATATATATATATATATATATATATTTCTTAATTTGCTTAGTTTCTGAAAGACATTTTTGCTGTTCCTATGTATCTTTACATTTCTGTATCAAATTTTATTTTATTTGTTACTATACTACCCATCTTTCTTTTTTTCCTACTCACACACACACATATATATATATATATATATATATATATATATATATGTGTGTGAACATTAACATTTCTGAAATCTAACGAGTAGACCAAACAATTACAGGAGGTTCTTCTAAGAAACACAAGTGACAAATTTTATATTTGTATTAATCCTATATATATATATATATATATATATATATATATATATATATATATATATATATATATATATAGTACAGGTAATCGATCCATTGGTATATAATCTGGGTGAATCCTAGAAATATTAGTTATTAAAACTGATCTACAGAGCGCTTAATGTATTTATTATAGTAGAGCATATGTATTTTTTACAGCAAAAAAAAAAAAATTACTTCAACATAGAAGATAGTCTATCATCAGCCTCCTTACAGACATTTAGGGTCTGATAATAGCCATGTAAAGAACGGCTTGAAATAGACTATCTTCTATGTTTAGGTAATTTTT